AGAGAGAGAGAGAGAGAGAGAGAGATAAAGGTGGTAGAGGCGACAGGGAGACGGAGAGATGGAAAGAATAAGAGGGGTCGGCGAAAAGACCAAATAACTGAAACTGAAAGGCTGAGATAAATCTGCCATTTTTGGGTCTAGGAACGTTAAAAGTGAAATTAATAGCGGGGTAAATGGAACTCACAGAGAGTCTTTTGCAACCTTTTTGTACCACTCTCAACAACAGTAGCAGAAATACCTCATACAAAGCTGTAACAATTCTAATTCTATAATGTTTTTCTACTTTTCAGGAACTGGAGAGTACAGTCCGCGATTTGCTGGGTATCGGGAAGAGTGGTGAGTTCGTGGCCAGAGACAAGGATGGCGTGGAGATCTCCCGTGGCTCCACCACCCACCTTAGCAGCGGCTTCTCCATCAACAACAAAGAGCTCATGGACAAGCTGGAGGTGAGAAAATGGCGTCTGTCTCTCACGGGCTCGGTTCGGTACTCGTTGTGTCTTGTGCTGATTACGCTAGTGTTATTGTTTTTATCGTTGTTGTTGCTCTTTTGTTGTTATTGATACTGTTATTATTGTTTTTGTTATTGCTTTTCTTATTGTTTTTGCTATTGCTATTGTTATTGTTATTGTTATTGTTATTGTTGCTGCTGTTTTGTGCTACTTTTGTTTTGTTGCTGTTTTTTTGCTGAAGACAAAGTCTTCCGGTTCTCATTTTTCCCATGACAGATTCTGTTTCTCGAAGACAAAATATGTAGAGGTAAGGGAGGAAAAGGAATAAAACAAAAGTAGAAGTAACGATAAGTGAATGCATGTACAAGGAACTTAAAGTAGAATTAAATAAAAGTAAATCAAAGAAAAATAAAAGAACAACACAAAATTCTTCGCCACAGTGTGCAAAAAAGTATGTAATGCAATTTAAAGAAAGGCATAAGAATGAAGTGAACTAAAATTAGTTCGTAAATTAAACACAATATTATAAGACTGAAGGAAGGATCGACTGTTTCTAGTTTTAGTAAGAGTTTTACGGCACTTGCAACGCAATAATGTCGTATAAGTGTCGAAAATTAGAGGTGTCACAAGAGAGTAACAAACACGAAAAAGAAAGAGAGGAGATCAGGACAATAGATGTTTGATAGGAAAAAAGGATCAAATCACGCCAGATCACCCACCAACCACCCGCGGCCAAGAGTCGAATGTATCTACGGGTCTCTTGGAGTACGCACAGATACGGACCCCGGATTTTTGTTTACACACGTCTTCGGATTCGATTGTCGAGTGGTTCACTGAGCTGAAGATCCAATTAAATCCTCGTAACGTTACTGCTTATCGGTAGCCGGGTGTTCTTGGGTCGTCCTGTCATAGACAGACATTGAGATCAATGGAATGACTTCCTCTTTGTCAGCAAAACTGAGCCGAAGTGAGAGGGGGAAACAGAAAGAGAAATAAATTAATGGGTATGATACGTTCTGTAATCGGGGGGAAGAGGCGGGAAAGGGGGTCAGAGATTGAGTAAGAGTACTCCTTTAAGGAGGATTTGAATTCAAATCTGTTCTAAATGAGGCGTTCGTGTTTTTGCTTTTTTCTCCCAAGAATGATGGGAGGTAATCTGTTTTCAGACATTAACCTATTATGTCAAACTGGTTTTCTAAAATGTTGTTGTGTAATACCCAACTCTTTGTTATCTACCTCTTTATGATTACCTTTATTTGCTCTCAGCGGCATCTCCACTTTATGTTAGATGAAAGATAAAGCATATTATTCCTATCTAATACCAATGACGGCCTCTCTTCCTTAACACACACACACACACACACACACACACACACACACACACACACACACACACGGAAACACTTGTATTTATGACGTACAACGCAGCTACGGTAAAATGTTTCATCAGCATTTCGTTTTGGCGTTTAAAAACCAGACACTCCATTACATGTTCTATGATACAACTATCCGAAAGCTCTGTCTCATCCGGCATGTTTTAGTTAGATACAGGAAAAAGCAACTATGAGGGTTTACATCAGACATCTGTGGCGGTTTATCTCATTCCGTAGCTTATTTTTACATTGCTTCTTCTCTACCTACCTTGGCTAAGAGTTTTTCAAATTATGTGATACTTCAAGAGCCATCATTGTACGTAGAGAGAGCATGATTTAGTGTTCATTTTTTGAAGTTCCGCACCGGTTTCTGTCATGTGATGAAGCGATTAGCTGCTTTGTCGTCGCAGGCAGACGAATTAAGTTCGATTCCAAGTCAGATGATTTTTAAAGAGTATCTCGGTCTTTCTTCTGGAACGCTGTATCTCTTCCAGTCCCGGGTCAGGGTCAAATCCCACCTCTGAAATAATATAAGTTGTGTGGAAAGGGGAGTAAAACACCAAGTAAAAATTTCAGTTCTGCCGAGATGGGGATGAAAATTCACAACTAAGAAACTGCAGCAAGGCTATTTGATTTATGATAGAAACTAGATACTGAGGGAAGTAATATTAAAATCTTTTGCTAGAATCGAATGCTTAGATACCTTTCGAAATGAAGGAAATGCACGTCTGAATAAATATGAGCAACACTGATATGAGTCAAATTAAATCTAAAAACCTGAAACTATTTTTAAAAAATCGGGACTCCGAGGAAGACGTTTTGAGGGGGGGGGGGGTTGTTTGTTTTCAAACACTTCGAAATATTGAAACCAAAGTTGAGAATTTAAACAGAAAGATATTGAGTAATGACCAAAAAAATAACCAACACAACAGACATATTGGCTTACTGGGCGTGAGCAGAAAATTAAAAAAGCTAACTCAAAGCAAACGTTATCTAAACCTTAAACTGGCAGCTTTCCTGCTCTTCTCGTCACAAAGTAAGTCGTGAGGTAACACACGGGCACAAACAGCTCATTAGCAACAGGTGCAAAACCTGTAGTTTCAGAAGAATGAACAAAATCGAATATCATTGCGCTAAGTACATGTGAGATGTTCACTGAAGTGTAGAATATTCACCTTCTTTACACTATTTCCTTCTTTCTTCTTTTTTTTTTGTTGGTCTAAACTCTTGGCCAAGAGCTACGTCTTTGCAAAGACCGAACACTCGAGCTGGGCAATGAGTCGCTTCAGCAAAATCCGGATAATATTTTAGTGCACCTCTTCGGCTAAAAATATGATATGAACCGCTTCGGCAAATGGGTTAGAACCACTTTGACAAACGGGTTATCATCATTTCAACAAACGAGTGCACCCACTTCGGCAAACGGGTCAGGAAAGAGAGTTAAGAGTCCTAAATCGGAAAATGTTTCATTGAGAATTATCCGGTTATCCTTTTGGATTATCCGGATTTTGCCCACCTCTACCAAACACCAATCAACTTCTTCTTAACCTTTCTTTAGTAAAAAAAGGTTGTGTAAAATCCTTCCCTTTTTTCTTTGCCTGGGCACTATAGGGTAAGTGCCACACTTTAGTAAAAAAAATGTAGGCCTAACTTTTAGATCTAGTATGATGTTAGGCTATTGAATCATTCTAAAAAAACCCTCTGAACCCTGCTTTTTTTCTTAGACGGAGTTCAACAAATTGCGGGAAGCTGTCCGAAGCAAGAGTACAGAGCTCATCGACACTCAGATCAAGCTGAATGAGACCAGTGTGGCTATGCACGAGGCTCAGCTGAAGCACTTCAAGACAAGCCAGGATCTTCTCAACACTGAGAACCAGGTCTGAGGATGTGTTTGAGTGTGACGGTTAGATTACGATTGGTGTTACGATAGTTTTGAGAGTTTCTATGAGAGAGAGAGAGAGAGAGAGAGAGAGAGAGAGAGAGAGAGAGAGAGAGAGAGAGAAAAACGGAGGAAGAAAGAGTGAGAGAGAAACAGAGATCGAGAGAGGAAGAGAGAGAGAGTTTGTGTATTTGCGTGTACAAGTGTGTATGTATATATATGTGTGTGTATATATATATATATGTGTGTGTGTGTGTGTGTGTGTGTCTGTGTGTGTGTTTATAAGCGCGAGTGTTTTAGAAAGAGATGGAGAAAAAGGAGGAACAGAGACAGAGAGAGAGAGAAGAAAGAGAGAGAAAGAGAGAG